AAACCTAAATAATTTCTATGAGTCATATTGAGTCTTATGTGTATTTGAAAATTATTTCTCTACATAACTACAGATGTTGGTATGACTTCTCAGCATTTAAACATTTAAACTAGGGATGCACGATATTGGGATTTTGGCCGATATCCGATATTTTAAAACTTATGTAGCCGATAACCGATATCGATACTGATGTTAAAGCTGGACAAAAATAAGTAGTCATTGAAAATAGCAGTTTTGTTATCCATTTCTGACACTTTGAAAAATAATAAACTCAAATATATTTTCATGTGCTGATATCAAATAGATTTTTAAAAACGCGGTATCGATCTATTTTACTTTCAAAATCTCATGAAATGTCATCGTTCTGTTACAAACTCTCGTGATATTTTGCAAATTCTTGTGAGATTTTGTTGGTAAAATAGATCTATACCGCGTCAATATATCAACATATAAAAATATGGCAAAATTTCATGAATTTTCGGGGGATTTCGTAGCATAACGATGACATATAGCAATATTTCATTAGTAAAAGAGATTTATGTGGTGTTTTTAAATGGCAATACGTATATCAGCATATGAAGATATTGTGATATTTTAATGTATCAATATTTTTTCCCTCGTCTTTGGAAGTTTTTAAGTCTATAAAAAAGAAGTTTTTGAGGAAGAAGAAGAAGTAGAATTTTTTTTTTTTAGACTTTAGAAACTCAGACGCTGATCAAATATCGGGTTAAATATCGGTGGGGTGGCCGATGTCTGATATTCAGCTTTAAGGCCGATACAGGCCGATAACGATAGGGGGCCGATTATATTGTGCATCCCTAATTTAAACCTTTCTGGACACTTTACACCTCACTGAGCAGTCTGCCTATATGGGCAGACTGGAGGTCTGCCAGGAGGTGTGGGAATTCCTTTAAACTGAGTAGTTCAGTTAAGTCTTTCGGTTGATAGTCAGCATACCTGGCAGGTTTTCCCCATTTTGTGTTTGATTGAGTTTGTTTGTGTTGCTTTTAGAGAGTTGATTGTTTTTTTTTTCAGCTTCTGAAAGGGATCCAACACAGCTCAATTTAGTTTATTTATATAGTGCAAATGTGACATCTCAAGGTACTTTACAGACAAAATTCATTCTGATTGTAGAGTCCGATTTATTTATATATATACACTACCGTTCAAAATTTTGGGGTCACATCGACATGTCCTTATTTTTGAAGGGAAAGCACTGTACATTTATATGAAGATAGCTTTAAACTAGTCTTAACTTCAAAGAAATACACTCTACACATTGCTAATGTGGTAAATGACTATCCTAGCTGTAAATGTCTGGTTTTTGGTGCAATATCTACATAGGTGTATAGAGGCCCATTTCCAGCATCTATCACTCCAGTGTTCTAATGGTACAATGTGTTTGCTCATTGGCTCAGAAGGCTAATTTATGATTAGAAAACCCTTGTGCAATCATGTTCACACATCTGAAAACAGTTTAGCTTGTTACAGAAGCTACAAAACTGACCTTCTTTTGAGCAGATTGAGTTTCTGGAGAATCACATTTGTGGGGTCAATTAAACGCTCAAAATGGCCAGAAAAAGAGAACTTTCATCTGAAACTCTACAGTCTATTCTTGTTCTTAGAAATGAAGGCTATTCCATGCTATAAATTGCTAAGAAATTGAAGATTTCCTACAACGGTGTGTACTACTCCCTTCAGAGGAGAGCACAAACAGGCTCTAACCAGAGTAGAAAAAGAAGTGGGAGGCCGCGTTGGACAACTGAGCAAGAAGATAAGTACATTAGTCTCTAGTTTGAGAAACAGACACCTCACAGGTCCCCAACTGGCATCTTCATTAATTAGTACCCGCAAAACACCAGTGTCAACATCTACAGTGAAGAGGCGGCTGCGGGATTTTGGGCTTCGGGCCAGAGTAGCAAAGAAAAAGCCATATCTGAGACTGGCCAATATAAGAAAAAGATTAAGATTGGCAAAATAACACAGACATTGGACAGAGGAAGACTGGAAAAAAGTGTTGTGGACGGATGAATCTAAGTTTGAGGTGTTTGGATCACAAAGAAGAACGTTTGTGAGACGCAAAACAAATGAAAAGATGCTGGAAGAATGCCTGACGCCATCTGTTAAGCATGGTGGAGGTAATGTGATGGTCTGGGGTTGCTTTGGTGCTGTTAAGATGGGAGATTTGTACAGGGTATAAGGGATTCTGAATAAGGAAGGCTATCACTCTATTTTGCAACGCCATGCCGTACCCAGTGGACAGCGCTTGATTGGAGCCAATTTCATCCTACAACAGGGCAATGACCCTAAACACACCTACAAATTGTGCAAGAAATATTTAGAGCAGAAGCAGGCAGCTGGTATTCTATTGGTAATAGAGTGGCCAGCGCAGTCACCAGATCTGAACCCCATTGAGCCGTTGTGGGAGAAGCTTGACCGTATGGTACGCAAGAAGTGCCCATCCAACCAACCCACCTTGAGGGAGCTGCTTCTGGAAGCGTGGGGTGCAATTTCTCCAGATTACCTTAACATATTAACAGCTAGAATGCCAAAGGTCTGCAATGCTGTAATTGCTGCAAATGGAGGATACTTTGACGAAAGCCAAGTTTGATGTAAAAAAAATAAATAAATAAGATTTGTAAAATCTTATTACAAATACAAATCATAATTTCTAACCTTGTCAATGTCTTGACTCTATTTTCTATTCATTTCACAACGTATGGTGGTAAGGAAGTGTGACTTTTCAGGAAAACACAAAATTGTTTGGATGACCCCAAACTTTTGAACGGTAGTGTACAGTATATATATATATATATATATATATATATATAGATATATATATATATATATATATATATATATATATATATATAGATATAGATATTTTTAACCCCTAGAATAGAATAGCTCCAAAGGTGGCTTTTTCTAGGAAAAAAAGGGGTAAACAGATGAGCTCTGAGCCAGTTTTCATTTCAAAGGGGCTGAAAGTGAGCACATACAGTTAAGCAGGGCAATAGCTGAGCCCATAGATATGTTTGTGGGATTGAATGACAGCTATGGTTTAATACAGCTCTCCCTCTGATGTCACATCCCGGCATACTGCGTTCTATAAACCAAATGCAGGAACTACATGTCGTCTTTCACTTAGACCCCCAACATTCCAGATGGCACGCAACACTTGGTGGAAACTCCAAAACCTCGGTCCAACTTTTGGTTGAATCAAACTGGTAAAATTGCATAACATTTGCCTAGGAGGGAAACAGGATAAACATTAAAAAGCAGGGCCAACTCTATCATCTATAATCAAAGGTGTTGTCGGAAGGAGCCCAGCTAACATTTCTCGTCAGGATGGTCTCACAGCCAAACGGTAACAGATCAGATGGAGCTACTATAACAAGAAAAACCAGAAAGAGCATAAAATTCAATGAACGGATGCTTCAAAATCTCAGAATAGAAATGGAATGAAGCAGAATGATGAAAAATTGGCCTATGCCCTCCAGCAGTCTAGGCCTACAACTATAGAGATAGAGTAGCTTAGGATAACTAGTGCCCCCCCTTACTATACGATGTATCGAAAGTTATAAGCTTATTCTTAAACAGTAGACACGGTGTCAGCCTCATGGACTAAAAGTGGTGGTTGTTTTTCAAAGGAATTTTTGATAATCCAGGTCCAGAAAGTAAAAAGCCGGTACAGAAATCAGTTCCAACCATTTGCAATTCCAGCTCGGAAAAAAAAAAACAGATAGTGAGTTGATCACCTCATTAAGTGAACAGAATGAGGGGAAATTAGGCAGGTTTTTTACTTTCTGGATCTGGATTATCCACCTCCAGCATAATTGAGCTATTGGCTGGACATAATGCCAAATATCCTTTTTACTGCATCTTTCTCATCGATTTGTGTAGCTGATTACTCTCGCCCCTATTAGGTAAGCCAAGCTTTTGCTGTGATGCTGTGAAGCTTTTGGTATAATGTCAATAATTCACAGTTATTATTTTTTTAAACATAAAAAAATATCTTAATGTGGCTCTTAATTAGCAGATTGGGCAAGTAGAGAATCAGTCAGAGAAACAGCCAATAGACCTTTGGTTAATCTAAAAGAGCTGCAAAGATCTACAGCTAATGTGTGATAAAATCAACTTGATACAGTAATAACTAGTTGTATGTTTTGTACATATTTTCTTTTTAGATAAGTGGCAAGCAGAATACCATTGTGTAAATATGTTCTAAGAAATCCTGCTTAAGCATCACCAAAAGCTACACATGGGATACAGAGAAAAAAGTTATCTGCTCTGAAAATAAACTACCTGAACATACCAAAGGAGGAAAACATAGTGGTGCTATGGTAATACTCCTTTTCTGTGTAAGATGTTAAAGATGGATGGATGGATGGATGGATGGATGGATGGATGGATGGATGGATGGATGGATGGATGGATGGATGGATTGGCAGGCAGACGGGTTGTCAATCAACGAGATGGATGGATGGATCTTTACATGATAATTCTGGATGAGGAAGCATCAGACGGTTGCATCTAGGTGGGATGTACACATCCCAGCATGAAAGCATTGCTAACCATGTCCAAAATGGCTATGGAATGATTTATATTAAAATGACATTCATGTGTGGATGTCTATTCTGTGAAGAAATCTCACAGAAGACCAAAACATTCAAATCTTTCACACCCACAAACAGTATTATCCGAAACTTGGAGTCGATAGTTGCAGTGAAACTTGGTTCTACAAATATTTTGTTGGAGCAGTGTTGAGGTGCACTCCACACTTTTCAGGCATTTTTTAAAAATTCATATCCTATACCTTCGACTATGCACTAAAATCCCATTTAAATTAAGGTATCTGTAATATGACCAAAGTGTAAAAGCTGCAACTCTGAAGCCTCCTACAAGATATAGGAAAGCAGCAATCTACCGCAGCATTTGGATGCACGCTTGAACTGAACTCTCCCATCTGCAATAATTATGCAACACGAGGTGGGATCAGGCAGGCTACCCACTCAAGCTGTAATGATGACCACATATAGCCCGTCGTTGATCCTTAACACCTGCAGCACAGAGCAAAAACATAAGTGAGAGACGGCTGCGGCTCCACCAGTCAGACCAAATTAAAATCACCGGATCCTGGGAATCGACTCGAATGTTTTCTGCGCCTTCTCCGTTTTAATTGAAGTCACACTCGTGCGCGCCTGCCTCCCTGCTCACGCGGGCGCACGTTCCTCCAGCTCAGCGCGCGCACATCACCAATCAACCTGCGCTGCTGCACAGGAGAATCCCGACAGGAGTATCTCCCGGCGACCCCTCTGTCTTTCTGTCCTCTGGATATTAGCGCAGAGGGTCGCCGCCTCTTCACGCAGCTTCCTTCTGGCTCTTCTTTATTTCTAAACTTACGCGGGCTTAGAACAGCACTTGTCCCGATACCATGGGTCTTTTTGGATGAAGTGTCCTTTCGGGGTTTGGGTTTTTTTTTTTTTTCTGTGTGTGCCAGCTCTGGAAAGTTTAACTGCGTCATGGACATACAAGGCAAACTTTAAGAGGTTTTCTTCGCTTCTGATAGGAGAGTTATTTGAGAATGAAGGCAGGTGAATCACCCGCGGCGTAAAGCGCGCTCCTCAGGTAGACTGGACTGGAAAAGGCGACACAGACGGAGTCGTGCTGCGGAGGACTGTGTGACTGGACCGATGAGAAAACATGGGTAAGTAGGCAAAAATGATTGAATCATTTTGGAAAACATTTCTGCATAATGTTAAGAAGCTGTGGTTTAACTCTATATAGCGGGGCTTCATTACTGTCAGGGTTTTATCTCATATAATCAGCATATTTCCCACTTAATTTCAGGAGGGATGGGTTTGGAGAAGATATGAGGAAAAATCTATGTGAACAATAAATCAAGGCGTCCGTGACCCTCTTCCTTCCGCCCTTGGTAATGAAAGTGTTACTGTATAAGTTTATTTTTACCATCTTTACGGTCAAGAATTGGGGATGTGACTGCGTAATTTGGTCTCCCCAATATTCCTTCAGTTTCTGCCTCCAGAGCTGTGACATGTCTTGACACAACCCCAGCCCCCCCTCCTCCTCTTCCTCTTGACAGCTCTGGGCACCTACAATCTCATCCCACACTGCCTATCACCTCCTCCATTTTACTGACTCCCTGCTCCACCGCTAAATTCGCCGCTCATCCTCGCAAACCCGCACGCATCGTGCAGACGCACGATGCGTGCGGTTTTAAGCTCAGCTGCTCCAATTTTTTGGTTCGGCATATATTTTAGTGCTCATCATTTGAGCTTCTAAGGATATGATGGAACTATTTCAAGCAGCTTCCAAGGAATGAGTCTCTTTTAATTAAAGCAACGTTTGCACTAAAGCTATAGGCTATACCCCCAGTTCTTTTTATTTATTTATTTATTTTTTTAATATCCACAAAAATGAGTTGGTAATTTTTTATCTTATTTTATATTTTGGGTATGATTTATGTAGGTTAAAGAGATTAAGGAGAGTTTTATATTTTCAGAAATTTACATGTTTAGATTTGCATTTCCACGCCTAAATTTAGGAAACAAACAAACAAAAATAAATAAAACAGGAAGAAACTTTTAAACATCTTTAAAAAAATTATTGCATAGAGTTTTAACTCTTAGGGTCCTTACTTGCCTCTTAAAAGGAAGGGAACTATGATAACATCAATAGTTTTCTTCTCACCTCTGTTTCTTGAACCCATATCAAGCGAAAATATACCTGATAAATTAAGCATTTATTTATTTGAATGTATGGAGCAAGTGATCAAGAATGAGATCCCCACATGGGCACTTATTTCTCAAATATGGAAGAAAAAAAAAAAGAAAAAAAAAAATATATATATATATATATATAAGATATAAGTCTAGAAAATATCTACTAGCAAGTACACTGTAAACTCGAATAAGTTATCTTAACTTGAAAAAAATCAAACTTATTACCTCAAAAATACCATCAGATACATCCAAAACCATTTTAGATACATTTTGAATGCACCTCTGAATACACTGGTAAAATCTCTACATTAAATAGTTCCTGCCTCCAGTTCTCATTGATTTGTGTATCTAAAGTATTACAGGAGGAAATTAATGCTGAATGAAATCTTCCAACTGGAAAAAACCTGATTTTAAAAATGCAAAGAATTGTTTTTCAGCAGCAATAGTTTCATGTCATACTTATTAATCAATACTTAAAATAGTTTACATCATTAGTGGCCAAACTTGATCAGCGAGTATTAATTAAATTGAAATATTTAAAACAAAATGAGGAGACAAAAAAGTAGATGGTGGCTTGAGACAGTTCCAACTCAAACTATGAATGAGAGCTGAAGAAATGCAAACATTTTTTACAAGTGTACTCTACGGTACATTAACTTTACAGGAACAGCCCAACTTTATGAAATATGAATGTGACTGTCCTGTTTACCAGGGTACATTGTGCAAGTTATCTTCTTCCAATGAAAATACATGCAAAAACATAGCTTTTTAGTCAATCAAAACTGGACACTGTGAGGAAAACACATTTTCTAAAAAACATTAAAGCAACAATGTGTCCCTTTTGATTAGATAAATATTCAGCACTTTGCCGCATATCAGCGTCTCATGTGGAGTGCCATCTCAACAACGTACCTATGTAACTTGAGGGGGGCGGATCCTTCTGTGAGTCATGTGACCCAGAGCACTGTTTTACAGCCATCTGAGCTCCCCTTTATAATCAGAGCAAATTTGTTTTTCTAGATTACAAATCAGACATGACCTTAACCTGAATGAGTTTAAATTAATTTATTTAAACATCAGGCGCATTTTGCCGGCGCGCATCTAGCGGTCTTTTCCAACACACACAGGTTGCATTTGAAATCCGACCCAGGCCACATAGCCAAGTGGCCAAGGTCGGATTGGAAAAAATCGGATCTGTGTTGTTCAGACAGCCATGAGAAGATCAGATCCAGGTCGCATATGGGCCAAAAAATCTGATTTGGGTCACTTCAGGCTGCAGTGGGACCGTAGCCAGAATCTCAAACAAAGGGATTCTCTAATTTTGCAAGAGTGCAGTGTTGCCAGTTCCTCTCAGTGGTGCTACACCTGCAAGTTTGGTGCTCCTGCAAGCTAAAAGTTTACAAAAAATGCACATGCACAACCCTGTACCCGCTCCCGAGTGAACGCCTATTAAAATCGTGTGAGAGCATGTACGAGCCCATTTCTCCTTGTGCACGCTCTGCTTAGAAGTTCCTGCTGTCATATCTCATACAAGCTTACTGTATCCAAACTTTCGCCCTAACCCCTAAATCCCTCATTCACTATATAGAATGGGGACTATATTGTAGACTTTACAGCAAAATCAGTTAACTTACCGTGTGGGAAAATTATCATTGCTTTTAGCTCCCCGTTGGTCACATAACCCTCCTCCACTTATGTGAACATATCACCAGAATTATTGATAATTAGGAGCACCACTTATTTAGATGATCCACCCGGAAGTAAAAGATAGTTCTCCATACCTTTAAAAGAGTAACTAAACCCCAGGATTCTTTTTTTCTTTTATGCAGACAAAGATTGTCAGTTGGACCTTAAGGTTGTTATCCTAACTGTACTGTGACATCGTCATGTAAACTTGTTTAATTTGGCAATATTTGCTCTAAGAATGTATCAGTGCTGCCCTCTGGGGGTTAAAAAATGGCTACTGCAGTTTAATTTTCCTATTGGTCAAACCGGTACATGTCAGTATAGCCCACATGACATACATTTAAACTGTAAAAGATTCCTAAAAAAACTGTATATATTATATAATATTGTTTCTATAAAAATCCACCACGTATACTAAAATGCTTCAGATCTCACTTCCAGCCATTAGAAAAACAAAAACGGCAACAGAAAATAGAGTGACCAACCACAATTAGGCTACGTTCACACTGTAGGCCCTAAAGCTCAATTCCAATTTTTTTGTGAAATACAATTATTTTTGCGAGGTCGTTTACGTTTCCAAATGTATGCCACCTGTATGTGACGTTTGTGAACTGCAAGTCTTAATTTGTAAGTTTTAATTATTAATACAGCTATTATGTAACATTTATGAGAGAAAATTATTTGTTTCTTGCACATTACTATGACAAACTTTCCATCCATTTTCCATCACGCTTATCCCAAGCCGGATAGCGAGGGGTACTGGTGCCTATCTCCAGCTGTCTACAGGCGAGATATGGCAAACTAATATACCTAAATTAAATAAAGCTTCATTAACCTTTTTCATAATAGCTGCTAAAATCCTTTTTATGGAGCCCTTACTCACCCAATATCCTAAATCATCTAAAATATTTGTAGAACTGCAAGGTAAAAAAAAAAAGGTGTTTGCAATGTACACTGTACGCCAGTTCTTTTATCCTTAGATAGATTTAAATTCCTTTTCATTTATTACTTAATTTTAATTTAGTACATTTAGATTAGACTACGTAATACTCTTTAAGAACCCATGCAACCCACACATCTGTGCTGAACTGTGGCATTTCCCCAAGTAATAAGCAGCTTGTTGCATCTAATGAGCACCTACTTATACAGTTTTAATTATGTCACCACAATTACCCAAAATAAGTGGCTACATTTGTCTTGAGTTTGATATATTTTTTTTTTACCAATGTTATATTGTTCTTAAATGGATAGAGCCGTTCTAGGTCTAAGCATGCTCCTGAAAATCATGTTCATCCAAACAGTACAAACATGTTCCCAAGTGATATTATTTATTAGTTTTCTGTTTTAATTCTCATTCTGTTTTTATACAGAATTGGGTATATATATACTGTATTTAAATTTAAAACAATTGTTACAAAACTACCAGGACAGGCATTAACGTCATATCTCAATGTTTTTCTGTTTTTGTCTCCCACACCTTAGAGTTGTGTGTCATGTCAAATATTTCTTCAAATGCAAATTAGCGATCCAAACTAGTACAACTTTCACACATCCAAAGCACATCTAAACCTGTGGGTCCCCGTGAGACTTCCATTAAAACCAACTGTCTTTCAGACCAAGAAGGATTTAAATGGGAGCAACTTGTGCAGAAATGCAAGTTAGTTTCTTGAGAGATAAACAAGACAAGCCCAAACAACTTTGTGGAGGCTGCTTGATTAATATTGTTGCAACATTTTATTTCTATTTTGTTGGCTAAAGTATTTAAAGCTATTGTTCCACCAATACCGATACCAGTATCTGGCAGGGCCCAGATCCAGAACTAAATTGGTGGAATCAGTATCAGCGAGTACTGACAAATAGAGCACCGATACCATTTTTGGGGGCCAAATGTTTATTCAGCTATTGTCACCTATTCCAGGTAGGCAATAAAAGGTTCTACTGGAGTCGCTTTGTATTAGTCTTTTTCCTGCTTCACAAAGGTAGGCAGCAGCTTGACAAAGCCATGATGGCAATTATTTTACATCCAAGTAGTATGCAGTTCTTCATATATACACACACACATCAATTTTAAACAGATGGTATCGGTATGGTAGAGGTATCGGCCAATACTGCACAGGCAGATATTGGGTATCGGGGCCAAAAAATGGCATCGACGCAACACTACTTAAAACTAGCCTAGAGTATCTCTTTGTTCAAGCTTCTACCATACTTGAGAAAGATTTCCCACCTTTTTTCCCTTTATAAAATTCTTAAAATTGCTATTCTTTTTATTTCAACT